GGGGAGGGCAGTGGGACATTGGGGTGTCCCCACAGAGGACGGGGGTCCCCGAGGCTGTCGGGGGGGGTGTCCCGGGGGTCCCACCTGGGGGGCTGCCGGAAGTCACGGATCTCGATGCTCAGGAAGGGCACGAAGGAGCGGGAGCAGAAGGGGCAGGAGGTGTTGAGGTTGGAGTCGTCCGAGGTCCAGCCCGCCATGAGCTCCTCGTCGAACACGAGCCCGGCACAGCCCGGGCAGCGCGAGCAGCTGGACAGCAGCACCTGGGGGACAGCGGTCACTGCGGCCTGAGCCGGGCTCTGACCCCCCCAGACTGGGATTTGACCCCCCAAACTGGGCTCTGACCCCCCAGACTGGGATCTGACCCCCCAAACCTGGGCTATGGCCTCAGACTGGGCTCTGACCCCCCCCCCAAACTAGGCTCTGACCCCAAACTAGGCTCTGACCTCCTAAACCTGAGCTCTGATCCCCCCCAAACTGGGCTCTGAACCCCTCGAGCTTGGCTCTGACTCCCCAAACCTGAGCTCTGCCCCCAAACCTCTCTCACCTCCAGGGCGGGGGGCTCCGTCCCCGCTGTCCCATCCATGGGGGGCTCTGTGGATTTGGGGGCCCCGGTGCTGCCCCCCGAGGCATCGGACAGGTCCAGTTCACTGCCCAGGGACACGGAGCTCTGGGAGGGACACGGGGGTCAGGGGAGATGACACAGGGTGACACAGGGTGACACAGGGTGACACACGGTGACACAGGGTGACACTCAGAGCCCCGGTACCTCTGACGCCGTGGACTCGGGGCGCTCCCGGGGTCGCAGCAGGGTCTCTGCGGGGCTGCGGCGTGAAGGGGGGTCCCCGTCCCTCTGCTCCGACCCCCGGCGTGTCCCGGGGGGCTCCCGGGGGGACTCTGCGGGGCGCGGGGGGGGCCGCTTGCCGGGCGACAGCAGCTGCTGCAGCTTGGCCGCCAGCCCCCGGCGCGGGGTCACCCCCCCGGCACCGGCACCGGTACCGGCACCGGGACCCGCTCCGGGCTCGTCCCCGCCGCTCTCGTCCGTGCCGATGTCCGAGAGGCTCCCGTCGGCCGAGCCGGGGGGGCCCCGCGGGCGAGGGGGAGGCGGGGTGGGGGTCACGGGGAGCAGGGGGGGCCCCCCCGCCCGGGTCTCGCCCTCTCCCCGGGAGCTCCCGGGGAAACTGAGGCTGCCGCTCTTCACCAGGCGCGGGGACGGGCCCGGCTCCGGGTCCCGCAGGCTCCGACCTGCCCAGGTGGTCTGGCGCTGCAGAGGGGGGCGAGGGGCGGGGGGGGCTTGGCCACCTGAGGGGGACAGAGGGGTCAGGGACGGCAGCACCCCCAAAGCTGCCATTCCTGGGGGGAACAGGGCCCCCCTGACCCCATAAAACCCCCACTCCCCAGAGGGGTTCAGGCCCTGGCAGGAGGGGACAGGGGAGAGTCACTGGGGTCACCCCCAGGTCTCATGGATATTCAGAGGGGCTCGATCCACTAAGAACCACCAAAGCACCGGCAGGGACCCTCAGTGACCCCAAATCCCAGCTGGGACTCTCCCAACCCCAAATTACAGTGATGACGGACCCCTCCCCATTTCCAGTCCCCCATAAGGACCCGCCACCCAAAAATCCCGGGTGAATCCCCCCTCCCCATTCCCACCGCGAGGGGACGGGGGGGGGGGTTGTGAGTGGGGTGACCTCACCCCCCTGTTCCCCCCAGCCCCTCACCTGGGGGGTCTCCAGCCGCGCTCCGGCGCTGCCGCTGCCGCAGGGGCTGCCGGAACTGCGCCGCCCCCAGCACCACGTTCCGCAGCTTGGCCCAGCGCAGCCGCCCCCCTTGTGTCCCTGCCGGCCACTTGCTCTCCAGCACGGCCTGCCAGGTGGGGACACACGGGGGTCAGGAGTGGCCGGGGGACCTCCAGGACCACCCCCCATCCAGCCAGGGTAACCCCTGGGGGTCACCTTGTTGTAGTAGCCGTAGGTGACGGTGTTGGGGACGATGCCGGCGCGTTTCATCTCGAGCAGGACGCGCACGGACAGCACGGGCTCCCCGTACTGCCCGCACAGCTGCATCAGGATCCGGTAACACACCTGGGGGGGCACCTCCACGTCAGCCTGGGGCACCCCCGGCCACCACTGCACCCTCAGAACCCCACAGGTGTCCCAGGTGGGAAAGAGCTCCGGGATCACAGAGACCAACCCGTGCCCAACCTGCTCAGCCAGACCAATGTCCAGGAATTCCTTGGACACCTCCAGGGATGGGAACTCCAAACCTCCCTGGGCAGTTCCAATCCCTGACCACTCTTTCCATGCGGAAATTCCTGCTGCTGTCCACCCTGAGCCTCCCCTGGCCCGGCCTGAGGCCGTTCCCTCTCCTCCTGTCAGGGAGTTGTGCAGAGCCACAGGGTCCCCCCGATCCCCCTTTTCTCCAGGCTGAGCCCCTTTCCAGCTCCCTCAGGAGTTCTCCTGCTGCTCCAGCCCCTTCCCCTTCCCTGGACGTGCTCCTCACTGTCCCTGCTGAGAACTGGACACAGCACCGGTCACTCCCCTCAGCAGCTGTTCCTTGGACACCTCCAGGCCAGGTTGAGTCCAGCACTGCCCATCCCAGCACCAGGTCCCCTTTCCCACGAGGATTTGGACCAGAACCTGACCCACCTCGTCGGGCAGCACCACCTTGTGCTGCTCCATCTTGCGCAGGACGTCGTAGGCGAGCTGGAGGGCGCGGAGCTTGGCGGGGGCGGCGCGCACGTGGGTGGGCAGGTACAGGAACCAGAGCCCGTAGCAGTGACCCAGCAGGCACCGAGCCCACAGCTCCGGCACCGCCGACGACTTCTGGGCCACCCGCTGGGCCACCTTCATCTCCTGGGGACATCGGGGACGGTCAGGGAATGGGTGCTGAGCCCCTCAGGCGGGCACCTGTGCAGGTGTCACAGCTCACGGGGACCCCTGTGCCCAGGTGCTGTCCCTCACCTGCTTGGTGCGGCGCGGGGCGGGGCTGCTCGGGGCGCTGCTCCGGGCCTGGCACAGCTGGGCCACCAGCGGGTCCCGGGGGGGCTCCAACAGCTCCGGGCGCAGCGTGGGGAACCCGTCATACCTGGGGACGGGCACAGGTGAGGGAATCTGGGAGAGGGGGAGGAACAGGGAGGGCCCGGGGGGGTCTCACCTGTAGCGTGCGGGGGGCTCAGCCCCATCCGGCCCCGCTGGCTGCTCCGGGGGGGTGATGAACACCGTGTGCTCCCCACCCCGGGGGTCGTCCAGCTCCATCAGGGGCGTGTCCTCGGGCTTCTCCAGGTCCACCTGCACCTGGAGAGGGGCGGCGGGGGCGCGGTGGGGACACACCTCGTGGGTGGGCACAGGTGTGAGGGACACGGGGAGGGGACACGGGGACTCACCTTGTCCACGCAGGTGTCGAAGAACTCGAGGCAGGGCTCGCGGTCGCTGGCGAAGGAGCAGTCCTCGATGAACTGCGTGAAGAGCTGCGTGCGCAGCAGCTGCCCGTAGAAACGCTGGTACGCCCGCTCCCGGGAGCGCAGGAACCCTGGGGAACGGGCAGGACACAGGGGTCATGGGATAACGGGATAACGGGATAACGGGATAACGGGATAACGGGATAACGGGATAACGGGATAACGGGATGGGATGGAACTGGCTGGGACAGGACCCCCAGGGTTGACCCCGCTCCTCACACACCCTGGAGAGTGAAAAGGATGGGATGGGATGGGATGGGGATGAGATGGAACTGGCTGGGACAGGACCCACAGGATTGACCCCACTCCCCACACACCCCGGAGCACGAAGAGAATGGGATGGGATGGGATGGGATGGGATGGGATGGGATGGGATGGGATGGGGATGAGATGGAACTGGCTGGGACAGGACCCCCAGGGTTGACCCCGCTCCCCACGCACCCTGGAGAGCGAAGAGGATGGGATGGGGATGGGGATGAGATGGAACTGGCTAGGACAGGACCCCCAGGGTTGACCCCGCTCCCCACGCACCCTGGAGAGCGAAGAGGCTGCCGGCATCACGGCCGGCCGGGGCGGGCGCGGGCGCGATGGGGCGCAGGAAGGAGCGGTACCCGCGCAGGGCGCAGGCCATGAAACGCAGGAACGCCGCCCGAGCTTCCAGCTCCAGCTGTGCCCGCCGAGCCCCCGCGGCCTCCGCGTCGCTCAGCACCAGCTCCGGGGGCTCCTCCTCGCCCGGCGCGCTCAGCACTGCGGGGACACGGCGGGACAAGCGTCGGCACCGGGACCGGCCGGGCCGCAGAGCCCCGGGGTGGGAGTGGGAATGGTTGGACGTGGAATGGTTGTGAACCAACGTCCAGGGAAAGAGGGAGTGAGGTTTTGATCCTGCTTGGAAAACGCTCCCAGGCAGGGGGGGATTTCAGGGTGTCCTTTGACCCCAATTTGGGCTATTCCGTGATTCTGTAACAGCAGAGGTGGGGGATGCAGTGACACCCAGGATCCCCTGAGACAACCCCAGGACCCCCGGGACACCCCCAGACCCCTCGGGACACCCCCAGGACCCCCACTCACGCTCATCCAGCTGCTGGGACAGGCTGTGCAGCGAGGCCAGCAGCACCTTGCAGGGCCGGCGGGGCAGCGCACGGGGCGACAGCAGCTTCCTCTCCTCACTCCTGGGGGACACAGACACGAGGGCAGGGCGGGACCCCCTGGGACCCCCCCGGGACCCCCCAGCACAGCCCAATCCCACGCTCCCCACCGGGGACACTCACTGGAAAATGGTGTTGGTGTCCAGGTCGACGAAGATGACGTCGCGGGGGGGCTCGTAGAGGTCGAAGTAGCTGGAGTGGATGCCTACAATGAAGGGCACGGGGGCACACAGCACGTCAGCCAGCGCCAGCGGGCACAGCGGGATGTAGGGGCACTGCCAGCGCAGGGGGAAGATCATCTGGGGACAGGACGAGGGTGGTCAGCACGGCGGGGCCCCCGCCAGGCAGGATGGGGGGGACCCAGCCCCGCGGGATGGGGTCTGCAGAGCTGTGGGACCAGGATCAGCAATGCCACAGGACCGGGATTCCCAGTCCTGTGGGATCGGGATCCTCGGCACAACAGTCCCCAGCACCACAAAACGGGGATCCCCGGCAGTGTGGAACGGGGATCTCCCCAGCACTATGGGATCAGTGCTCCCAACACCGCAGGACAGGGATCCCCAGTGCCACAGATCCCCAGCGCTGTGGGACCGGGATCCCCAGCACGGTGTGTCCCCACAGTGTCCCCGCAGTGTCCCCTGCGGTCACTCACCGCCACCAGGGCTTCGCCCACGCTGGTCAGGACGTCGGGGCGCAGGGAGTGGATGAGCAGCTTCTGCTCGGTCAGGACGGCCACCAGCAGTGCCACCGCGTTGTCAGGGCCCAGGTTCTGCAGCAGCGTCAGGAAACTGGCCCCGCTGCGGGGAGGGGGGACATCACCCGGTCACCCACAGCCCCCTCCCCACCTGTCCCACCCCCACGGCAGCACCCCCGGCCCTACCTGAGGGGCAGCGGGGAGGACACGGGCCGGCACAGCAGCAGGCTGTCATATGGGGACATCTGTGGGGACACGCAGATGTGATGGTGAGGGACACAGGGACACGCTGCGCTGGCCTGGGGGTCACCCCCCACAGGTGACTCACCTGGACCAGGATCCGCGGGCGCTGCGGGGACGGGAAGGGCACGTTGTGCATGAAGTGCGAGATGTGCCTGCGGGCGGAGCGGCCCCGTCAGAGGCGCGGTCGCCGCGGGCCCCCGCCCCCCCCGGAGCCCCCCCTTGTCCGCGCTCACGTCTCCAGGGGCAGCACGTGGGGGCCCGAGATGGAGTAGCGGTAGATGAACATGAGGAACTTGCGGAAGACGTCGAAGAAAGGCCAGTGCGACAGCACGCAGATGCTCTTGCGGGTGTGCAGGGAGCGCCCGGGCACCGGCCGCCGGTCCACCACGCTGAGCAGCCCCAGGCGCAGCGCCTGCGCCTCCGACAGCCGCTCCCGCGGGAACGCCTCGTGGAATTGGATGGCAGCGCCGTACACCTGCGGGGCGGGGCTGTCAGGGCACCTGGGCACGGGGATGATGCTCACACCTGGGCTGTCAAGGCACCTGGGCACGGGGATGCTGCTCACACCTGGGCTGGGAACTCCTGGCACTGGGGATCCCGCTCTCACAAGGGCTGGGGAGCCCGGGAACCGGGGATCCCGCTCCCACCAGGGCTGTCAGGGCACCCCGGGCTCAAGGACCCCGCTCCCAGGAGGGCTGGGAACCCCTGGAACCGGGGAATTTGGTCCTGCAAGGGCTGTGAACCCCTGGCACTGGGGATCCTGCTCCCACAACTCTGGGGTGCTGAGACCTGGGGACCCAGCCCCTCCCATGGCACCGAGGACCCCCATCCCACACCCCCCCAGCCCCCTGTGCCGCCGTGCCTTGTCCCCCGAGGCGCCGGTGAGGACGAAGGTGGAGAAGACGGGCAGGGGGTACTTGGTGCCCACGGGCCAGCTCTCGATGGTGGCCCCCATGGGCAGGCAGAACACGGGCACTGACTCAGGCAGTGGGAAGGACTCGCTGTCCTGCTCGGGGTAGCGGCTCAGCAGCCCTGCACGGACACACGGACACACAGACAGATGGACAAATGGCCTGGGGATCAGCCCCCCAGGTCATCTCACCCACCCCAGTGAGGAGGGGGCTACCACGTGAGTGCCCACAGCTCCACAAAATCTCCCCTCAAAACTTCCCCCCAACAGGAAACCCAATTGCCCCCCATCCCCAGTAAGAGATCCCATTGTCACCCCAGTAAGGGATGCCACACTTCCCAGTAAGGAACCCCATTGTCACCCCTCCCTCCCCAGAAGCCTGGCAAGGCCCGCCCAGGGGTGCTGGGGCAGCTGAGAGCCCCCACCCTGTGCTCCCCCACCTCAGCCTCACGCCAGCTGGGTGAGGTTAATTAACACAGAAAATATTTTTAAGACTAATAGTGACAACAAACAACTCTGGCTTCCCCTAGGGCTGCCCAGAACCCCCAGTCCGAGGTCCCCACCTGCCTCGTAGACCAGCGTGTTGTCCTTGGCCACGGCGATCTTGTAGCACAGGAACAACGCGGGGCCCCACTGCAAGGAGGGATGGGGGATTTGGGGATCAGCAGGGGCTGGGCAGCACCGGGGGGGGGCGGTGAGAGGGACCCCCCAAACCCACCATGCTGGTGTTGAGGTTCTTGTCCACGCGGCAGAAGGTGTGGGGGGTGCTCTCGCCCTTGCTGGGGATCACCAGGCAGATGTCGGTGACCCCCAGCGTGTGGTGGCCCGGGGGCTCGGCCGCACGCCGGAACGTCAGGAAGGTGCGCTGGTGGCCCGGGGAGCCCGCGGCCAGGTTGGCCGAGCGGCTGTAGGGGGTGGTGTCCAGGATCTGGTAGCCCGGCTTGGGGCGGTCCTTGCCCTCATAGTGAACCCTGAGCGGGGAGAGGGGTGAGAGGAACGCCAGGAGCACCTCCCAGCTTCCCAAACTCTTCCCCCCAGCCTGGAGCACCCCACGGGGCTGCTGTGACCCGGAGCAGGACTGGGGGGCTCCCCACACTCACCCCAGCTCGATCAGGGGGGGTTTGTCCCTCCCGCGTTTGTAGCACAGGAACATCTGGGGGTTGTTGAGCAGCCCCGCGTTGAGCTCCACGGGATGTCCCGACGTGCTGGTCTCGATGCACGTGAAGCCCTGGGGCACCTCCTCGCCCTGCGAGCGGATGATCACGGCCACGTCCGTGATGGGCTCCCCGGGCCGCGCCGGCCGCGGCTGCTGCTCCTCCTCCAGCGCCCGCGACGCCTCCGCCAGCCCGGCCACCACGAAGTAATCCACGAGCTGCGGGGGCTTCTCGTCCGACATGGCTGTCACAGCATCTGCGGGGACACGGGCCATGCCACCAGGGCACAGGAAGGGAGGAGTTTTCCGGTCACGCCGTGGGACACGGGGACCCTCCAAACCTTCCAGCCACCCTCCCCCAAGCACGGGCAGGTCCCCTCGGGCAATGCTCGGAGGAAGGAACCCTCCCTCCTGAGGCACCCCTGGTTTGGGGGCTGCGCCCCTGCTTTGGGGACCCCGTCCCTTCCTGTGTCCCCTCCTTGTCCCCAGCATCCCCGGTCCCCACAGCACGCTCTGTCCCCAAAGTCACGTCCCCACCCCGTCCCCAGAGCCCCCCCCGGTGTCCCCAGACACCCCTCCCTGTCCCCAGCTTGCCCACAGCTTGCCCACGGGGAGTCCCTGGAGCCGCCGGGGCCGGAGGACGGGGGTGAGCAGGAAAGGGGAAGGAAACGGCGCCAGGCCCGGAGCGCCCACGTCACCCCGGTCCCCCCCACACCGGGGGGGCGACACGGCCGCGACCCCAGCGCGGACACCCCGCAGGGACACCGGGCTGGCACCGTGACCCCGGCACGGCACCCCCGGTACGGAGGTCACGGTCCCGGGAGCGAGGGGTGACAGTCCCTGGGAGCAGTGACACCCCCTCAGACGGGGGTGAGACCCCCTTGGGGACAGTGACAGCCCCTGCCTGGGGGGGGTCACCTCCTGCGGAGGGCCTGGCAGGGTCCCACATCCCCGTGTCCCCCCCGGTGACCCCCCCGGAGGGTGCTCTGTCCCCGTGTCCCTCCAGGTGACGCCTCCGGAGGGTTCCCCGTCCCCACGCCCGCCCCGGTGCCTCCCCGCCGGGTGGAGTCCCCATCCCCGTGTGCCCCCCGGTGATTCCCCCACAGCGGCCCCACAGGCCCCACACCCGGCCCGGGTCCTTCCCCCGGCCTCGCAGGCCGCAGACCCGGCCCTGCATCCCCCCCGCATCCCCGCGGGCCCCCCGGCCCGGTACCCCCGGATCCGCCCCCCCCCCCGGTACCTGCGGGCCGGGCCGGGCCGGGCCGGGGCCGCGTCTTTGGGCTCGGCTGGGCCGCGACCGCGCGCCCGCCCGGCCCCTCCCGCGACAGCGCCCCCTGCCGGCCCGGAGGACTCGGGACCCGCCGGGAGACACCGCCCCCCCCAGGACCCCCGAAATCGCCCCCAGGACCCTCCAGATCCCATAGAAACTGCCAGAACCCGCAGGAGACCCCTCCGACCCTCCTCAGAAAACTCAAGGAGCTTCCAAGGAATGTGGGGGACCCCTTGTTCCCTCTCAATTCAGCGACCCCAAGGGCCGGAGGAGCTGAACCCCCCCCCCCTCCTCGGAACCCCCCGCTAAATCAACCACACACTGGCACGGGGGGGATTTAATTAACATAGAATATATTTTAAAAAATAATAATAATAATAAATCACTCTGGCTCCCTCCGGGGGGGGCCCAGGGCCCCCCACCCGCGGACGGGCCCCCCCCGTGCTCCCTCGGGAGGGCAATTTTGGGGGGGGGCAAAGTTACAAGTGCTTTCTACACGTCCCCGGCAGCTGGGGGGGGGGAAGGCTGGGGGTACATAATGGGGGGGAGCGGGATTTCTCCTTAAACATGATGATTAGCCGGAAAAATGATAAAGTAAAAGGCAGAAGCGGCCCCCCCAGCCCCCCCGGGGGTCTCTACCTACGGGGTTATGTACAGCCACCCCGGGGGAGGGGGGCCGGGACCCCACGGCCGGGGTTTTTGGGGGGCCGGGGGGTGCCTGGATTGCTCCCCCTCCCCAATTTTTTCCCAGGGTTTTCCCAGGAGAACAGTGCCTGGTCGGGTCTGGGGGTGGGAATTAGGGGAGGGGCGCTGGGTGGAGCCCCCCAGGCTTGGTTTTTTGGGGGGGGGGGTGTGGGGTGCCTAGATTGTCTCTCCCTCCCCAATTTTCCCGGCTCCGAGGTGGCCCCGGTGGGGACTGGAGGGGGGGGAACTGGGGGGGCTCGTGGTGCTGGGGACCCCCCCCCCAGCCTGGCTGGAGTGGGATGGAGCAGAAGGTCCCTTGACAGGAACCCCCTCCCCAATTTTCCCCGCGCTTTCCTGGGACAGCAGTGCCTGGAGGGGCAGTCCCAGAGCGGGAATTGGGGAGGGGTCGTGGCCGAGGGGCCCCCCCGGGCTCACTGGACGCAGTCAGAGCCCTTGACAGCAACAGTTGGGAGGGTCCGTGGGGCCGGAGCCCCCCACCCACTTTTCCCAGGGTTTTCCCGGGGGAACAGCAACCGCTGGGGTCTGGAGGGGGGAATTTGGGGAGGGGGGCGTCGCAGCGCTTGGACCCCCCCGGGCTTGCTGGGCCCCTTCCAGCCGCGTTTGGGGCGCCCGGATCGCAGCCCGTGCCCGCCTTTCCCGGGGTATTCCCGGGGTATTCCCGGGGTATTCCCGGCGATTTCCCGGCGATTTCCCGGCGATTTCCCGCGGTTTCAGCGGGAGCGCAGCGGGCGGCGGGGCCGGGGGCCGGGGATGGCGGGGGGGGCGCGGCGCCGGGGCCCCCCCGGGCTCACTGCAGGCGGTCGGAGCGGAAGGAATCCTCGACGGCGGGGTCGGTGAGCAGCGCGCAGGGGTCGCTCAGCATGCTCAGCCCGTCCAGCGTCAAGGGCTCGATGCGCAGCTCCTCCTCCAGACCCCCCAGCCCCCCCAGAGACCCCCCCTCCACCTCGAAGCCCGGGACCCCCGCCAGCGCCGTGGCGATCTCCTTCGACAGCCCCGGGGGGGAATCGCCTGCGGGGAAGGGTGAGGGGGGGACACGGGGGTGAGCACGGCCCCGGGATGGCCCAAACACCCCCCCC